TAGCTCAATATTAGCTTCAGAATTGTAAAATTTTCTACCAAGGTCATTTAAGACCATTTTTTTACTTTTCTGAATTATTTAAATTTTGATGAGGGCGACTGCAAGGTTTTACGATGAGGGCGACTGCAAGTTTATCAACACGTTATCCTATTATTTTATATTTATTGTCACTTCTACTTTCGTCAGCTCGCAAAAAGATGAAAATTAAGTAAAGTTTGTAAGAACAGAGTTTTTTTAAGTTAAGAGAGAAAATTTTTGACAGTTACCTCTACCTCCATACTGCGCCCAGCTCTTAAACCGCTCTTAAAACTTACTTGCAAGCTTTATTTATGCAGTAACCCATGTGTAACGTGTATATGAGCCAGTTTCCCGTAGAAAGTACTCCACGAAGGCATCCCTCCCTTTAGGCAGGTAGCCCTCGTGTGCTTTGCCATAATTAAATAATCCAAAATCCAAATTATGCAGTAACGAATTTCCAATTACAGTAAAAATATTACCCATGCATTGCAGCTATTCCCATATATATATATATATATATTGAAATTTTGTTATTAATGATTTAAATTCAAGTTCCCGTAAATTTTTTTTTTCATAATTTACATAAAAGTTACTTTAAAACACAATTCTGGAAATTAAACCTCCTACATATGGTTTCCCTCTTTTTTGATACTTCTACTAAATTTATATTAGGAGATAATATAATCAATATTTCCTTAGTAAATAAATTACATATATATATAATGGGAAGTAGAAATTTGTGTAATGCAACACAGGCCACAGTTTTACTTACTACTTATATATATTGTAGCGAAGCGGTATCTTAACTTTAAATTAATAAACCTAAGAATACATCACTGCGAGTGGACTGTAAATTAACCTTTATTTGGCAGTTTGAACTTTCGAACACAACACAACACAAAAGTAAAAGCGACAGAGTTACAATTAGCGGTTTTAAGAATGCAAGAACAAAATGCGAGCTGCGCATACAATCTGCGCATTGCGAAATAATATCTCACAGACAGGCAGAGAGCTCTGGTGGCCGAAACATATATATATATACACAGGGGCCCACTAAAGTCTGCTATCACCCTTTTAACTTCCGAACGGCTGCAGCTATAGTCAGTGGCGTAGCTAGGGTGGGGCAAAGGGGGACATCTGTCCCCGGGCGCAGCATCCAGGGGGCGTCAAATTGATGGTACGAAATTTTAGAATGAAGTGTTTTCCATTCGTGGCACACAGAGAGGGGCGCAAAATCTTCAGATGTCCTCGGGCGCTGAAAACCCTAGCTACGCCTCTAGCTATAGTCATAAAAGTGGTGTCTGCGTATAGTATAGTGGCTATGCGCTACTAGATGATATAGCTTGCAGCACCACCTGATGGAAAACAGCGGAGTTAGCGTCTCTATCTCGAAAACAATGCTAGATAGAAAGAAAAAGTGAATTACAAAGTTGTAGAGCATTGTCGATTTAGTGCGAAAAGACACCTTATCGATATTAAGAACAGAGCGTTTCTAACGTGCATTTGGTTTGTTCGTGATTTGTGACGTCACGAAACGATCTTAGAAATTAAAAAACAACTAGTTATCACAAGCTACCTTTATTTTTGATGTTCAAACTTCTCTCTTTCAAATGAAATGCACATCTAGATCCTTGTAAGAACTTCATGTTGCACGCGTTGTAGCATAGCGGGTGACACGTTTGCACAAGCATCTGTAATACGTCGTTGAAGGTCCTGCAATGTCTGTGAAGGGGTCGCATTCACCTGCCGTTTGAGGTATCCCCACAAGGAAAAGTCCATTGGAGTCAGATCAGGTGAACGTGGAGGCCACTCTATGAAACCACCATACCCGATCATTCGTTCTCCAAATTTCTCCGTCAGGTACTCCTTCACATGTGACGTCTTATGCGCAAGCCCACCGTCATGTTGGAACCATCCATTCCTTAGTTGAAGCAACGACAGGTTCTCAACAAAATCCTGTATTATTTCTTGCAGAAGTTCTAAATATCGTGCGGCCGTTAAGGTACCCTGGCAAAATGTTGGGCCGATTAGCCTGTTATTATAAATTCTACACCAAACATTGATGGAAAGCCATATTTGATATCGAACGTCGGTAAAAAATGATGAATTTTCCAGTGCCCAGTAATGGGTTTTCTGCCTATTGTACATTTCATTCCGCGAAAAGCATGTCTCATCCGTTCACGTCATCTGGCAAGAATGTTGGCTGGACCTCTATCTGATTCATGACGAAGTTGCACCATGCGAAACGTCTCTCGGCATCCCCATACAGGAATGCGTGATTACGTGCTGGCCGGTATGGATGAGCACCTAATTTATGTAGAACTTTCCAACCTCGACTTTTTGAGAGGCCACAGTTTTCACTTACCTCTCTTCTGCTGCTGATTGGATTTGTGAGGGCGTATGATAAGACATCTTCCGGTTGTACTTTCCGCCCTACCTTAGCTGGTCTACCGGATCGAAGTCGGCTAGTCACGCACCCTGTCTCCCTTAAACGTTTTACAACCTGTAGGAGGTTTTCTGTGAAGGATGCTGGCCTGCAGGAAAACGTTGCTGATACAACCGCGCTGCCGATCGTGCTTTGCTCTCACATTCACCGTAAAGTAGAAACATGTTACAATAATAATTTTTTGAAAATCGTTTCATGACCATGAGCTTCAGTATGCAACGCCGAGGAGATACTTCTTTTATAGCTGTCTCGGGTTTTATACCTGTGACGCTTTATACACTGGTTGCATAATGCACAAATACGCCCACCAAACTCGTGAAGAGTTGATGCATTTTGCGACACGAGTTGATGCATTTCGTTCGAGTTTCGTGATGTCACAGTTTCGAAAATGGCGAGAAAGAAATATGAGTTTTCAGCGTTCTGTTCTTAGCATTCGTGTCCAAATGGTGTCTTTCTGTACTAAATCGACGATGCTCTACAACTTTGTAATTCATTTTTTCTTCCTATCTCGTATCGAGATATTGACGCTAACTTCGCCGTTTGCCACCAAGCGGTGCTGTAAGCTATCTCATCTAGTAGCGCATAGCGACTTTACTATACCTAAACACCACTTTTATGACTATAGCAGCACACGTTCGCCAGTTAAACGGGTATTACCGGACTTTAGTGGGCACCCTGTATATATATATATGTAATAATAAAATTCCATAGTCAAGAATACACTTAAAATTCTAACTGTATGTTCTTTTCATTTTTAATGGCGACGTTCTCTTATTCGAAAGTACGTGCAATTAAAATTCACAGCCCCATAGTCAAGTTGTTTTTCCCGCCTTTTCTACACGTAAAGTTATAGAATGCTCTGGAAAATTTTAAAGCGAACTGGAATGGCTGACGTCATTTCTTGGAAGCTCCGCCTTTCCAGAGGCTATAAAAAGACTCGCAAAGGAATATCGAGGACTTTTTCTTAAATGTCACAATGCAGTAAACTTCATACAAAAAGTTATTAGTAATTCGTTTTATTTACTCCGGATATCTGATTTTGTAACTGCTATTTCTCGTGAATAATAATAAATGGTTCCTTTTTTTTTTTTTTTAAACTTATCGTCTGATAATTTAAGCTACGACTAAAGCTGGTACATCATATATATATATATATATATAATATATAATATATATTATAAATAATATATATATATATATATATATATATATATATTATTTACTAAAGAAATATTGATTATATTATCTCCTAATATTAATTTTAGTAGAAGTTTCTAAAAAGAGTGAACCCAGATGTAGGAAGTTTAATTCCGAAAAATGTTTTAAAGTAACTTGAATGTAAATTGTTAAAAATGTTTTACGGGGACTTGAATTAAATCATGAATAACAAAATTTCAAACTTTGAAAAAGAAATTAAATTAAAAGCAAGTAATTATGTTGAATGATTTAAAATTCACTTAGTTCGAAAACAAGTTTTCTATTACTTGCTGAGTAGCTGCAAAGTAAGATAATAATCATTTATAATAATATTGATTATATTATCTCCTAATATAAATTTAGTAGAAGTATCAAAAAAGAGGGAACCCATATGTAGGAAGTTTAATTCCGAAAATTGTGTTTTAATGTAACTTGAATGTAAATTATGGAAAAAACGTTTTGCGGGGACTTGTGTTTATAGAAGTCCTTATTCTGCTTTTATTTTCGAAACTGTTGGTCGGAGACATATATTTCAAATCTCAAAAATGTTCTAATGGCGTAAATATTCATGTTTTAGCATTTTTAAATTTTAAAAATTCAGTTTTGTAAAAGTTGCAAAATTTAAATTTTTATACTCTGTTCCTTGATTATACTACATGATTTTGTTATGTTTGCTTGATTACGCTATATGAGGCCATAGAAGTGTTTCCGGGAATCTCGGTTTCTAGGATATTTAATTGGTTAATTTATCCAAAAACCAACTCTTTAACGAAAACCCTGTGGGCGACAGAACATGCGCAGGGAAATATTTTCATTAGCGTCGTAAGATGTCCCTGGTGGTTACTTTGGACAGTGCGTCCAAGGCAATTCTTTCAGCTAGGAACCTACCGTGGTGGGACAAACATGTTTTTTGGTAAAGTTTAATCTAGCGTCTCGTGTCGCTAGATATGAAAAATCCCATGAGCGTTGCCTGAATCGCCTTTATCCTTTTGTTAGTAGTGTTGATCGCGTGATTAGTGGTCCTGACCAAAGCGTCCATCAGGACTTTCCCTTGTGAATTGCATACTTTAATTGCTTAAGTTTTACTTTTTTGTTTCATTAAATCAAGTAATCAGTGGTGACATTTGCTACTACACAAGCTGTATAGTTCGTTAAGTTCCATAAAAAAGTGTTTTTTATACCTCCTGCTGAGTTCGTATTTATTCTCTGGAAGACAGGCGGTAGTTGCCTACGCGGGTAGCCAGCAGTTTTGAAATACTTAGGTTCAAGCTCTCGAGCTTGCCGGATCTATTTTCCTTTGCTCGCATGTTCTGAAATAGTTTTCTTTTAACTGTTTTAGTGCCACTGTCGATGGATTATCTGCAACAAGTGTCAATGCTTCATCAAAGAAGTTTATTGGACGTCCATACCTCTTTGCAGGCTAGTGCTAATGCTGCCTCAGAATTATCGCTTGGAATTGACGGTAAGAATAAATTAATTTCTGTTTTTCAAATTTTTTGAAATATTTGTAACTCTAATAAAGAAAGTAATAACTTGGGAGACATCGCAATCGGTCTCATCACTGCCGCTTAGTGAGATCGGTGGTGTGTCCTGCTCGTATGCGGCGCTTTGAGAGTTTAAGTTATAGGGCCGCTGTTTCCTTTTTTCATACATTTTGCCCGTTTAAGTTATAGGGACGCTGTTTCCTTTTTTCATACATTTTGCCCCTTCTCCACGAGTTAAATTATCTTAGAAAGTCTCAGAACGTTTCTGCATTGTTTACTGCATGAGATGTTAGATTACAGAGAATAAAAATCAAATTACGTTATCGAAAATAAAAATTTAAAAAAAAAATTCTTAAATCTGATAAGCTGAACACGAATAGGACAAATAAAACATGTCTATTAATTCGAGTTTTGATGATCAGCAGGAGTATACTTAACCTTTAAAGCTATGAATGGTACTAATAATGCATTATACTATTCAGTAGGAAAATTGGCTGCAGATTGTGATAACAACAGTCATGTGATAACAATAAAACCTATCTATTTCTTGTTTACTGTGTATTTAAAGAAGTAGCGAACGATCGAACAATAGCTTATTGTCGCACTACCCTCTCTCTTCTCTTTCCCCCTCTTTTTTTCTTTTTTCTTTTCTTTTTTTTTTTTTTTTTTTTTTTTTTTTTTTTTTTTTTTTTACGATTTGCAACTTTCCCAGTCTTTTAATATACTGTACACTTAGCAAGAAACATCTGGAATTCGTTAAACAAGCTGTCAGATTTGCCGCAATATTTCAACAAAGGGCAGCTATTCGTCCGAATGACTGAATGTTAAAACAAATTTTTAAATTTTTATTTTTTAAAGTCAGCTTTCTACAAATTAATTTTCAAGAAAGTCTTTGAAATTTATTCCATTCACACTAATTTTCGTATCCTTATGTAGTATTTCTTCCACAATTGAATGATTATTATATACCTGTTATTATTAGAATCGCGTTCAGAAAGAGTATCGTAAGCTCCACATTTAATTTAAAAGATGGTGGTATGTCTATATTCTTAAGAACAATGGCATGTTAGTGTTTTGAAATTTGCTATGGTGAGATATATTGAAACTTATACAACTCTAAACTTCATTAAGATGGCTGATTTGAAAAATTTAACTTAACGTTCTAAAAACCCCATGCTAAGGCAAAAATAGGTTTATAAGTTCTTACATCGAAAACACTAAGGTTCATATTTTCGTAAATATTATCAAACATTATTACAATTAAGAAATGTCACTAAATTTATGAGCATATTTTTGAAAAGTGACAATAACCAATAAGTTAGACTAAAATAACTACAGAGTTAATGTTAAACAGTTAGCATTTTTTTAATGATCATGAACTTTTAGGTATGAGAAAAAGACCGACTGTGATGCCTTTATTTTCTAATTACGTAACAGCCATAATACTGATATATTTAGGTTGCATATATAATTATATTATACATAATATAATTATATATGCAACCTAAATATATCAGTATTATGGCTGTTACGTATTTTCACGTCGCTGTCTGAAACTCCTGGTAATAGGCCGTCATATAGAACTCAGAATAGCAGACGTAATAATTTCTCGAATACTGTGTCACATTGCTTCCCCAACTTTTAGCATCGCCATCCACTTACATACAGGTGCGAATTAAAACTATCCGCATGCATGTAATTGCTCTGAAAAACAAAGAGAGAAAAATTTTTAAGAATAAAATAATGTACTAATGAAATAAAAATATTTACAATTATTAACAATTACTTAATATTTATAAACCAAAAATCATAAACACATATTCTTAACTATTTAACTAAGTAAATTACTTCTTAGGAATAGCATACTAAGTGCCTTTATTCATAACTTTAATGGGAAGAAATGTTTCTGTTCGACAGTCTGCTTCGGCATGAGCGTAAAGGAGCCGGTTGTAATAGTGTTGGGCGCGGTTGTGATAGTTTGAATCTTGAAAAAGGCATGAATGTATGTAGTTGTCTATTCCCTCTTCTCGTGGGTGCGAAGTTAGACGCCCCTTTCCCCTGTGGTGCATCATGGGCAACATTATGGTTCATGACATGGCTAAATCACTGACGTTTTCTACCGTTCTCGACGAATGTTTGAAGCAGTCAGAGTGCGATGATTGGATTCTCTGGCTCCCGGCAAAAAAACTTATTTAGTAATTATTTACTTCTTTATTATTTAGTAAATTATTTACTTCTTTATTATTTATTTATTCTTTATTATTTAGTAAATTATTTACTTCTTTATTATTTAGTAATTATTTACCTCTTTATTATTTAGTAAATTATTCATGATGCCAGGGCAATATGTAGTTTTTAGTGAGGCTGACCTAGGGAAGAACATTCTAAAAAAATGGTTTATATATTTTTTATCTGGGTTCGAACCCAAACAGATAGACGGGCTGCATAGTTGGTTTTGATAATTTTCCCCATGGGCAAGCCACTTTCCCTGAGGAAGTCCTCCAGGAAGTCAGCCCTCTCCATAGACTTATATATAATCCTCATGTGTTTTGTTATGTTCTAATAACTTAACCATGAAAATGAATGAGAATGGACATTCTAAAATCTCTTATTATCAGCGTGTTCGCCAGATCCCTAAAAGACGATCACTTCTTAATTGTTCTCTGTTTTAACATGTGAAATGCTTCGCAAGGGAAGGAGAGGAAATTATTTGTGAAATGCTTTTTACTGAATTACTGGGAAAAATGAAAGAAATTTTATTGCCATGTATACTCATAAATTACTTCAATTCTAATGTTATGTACGTTGCTATGTTGTGTTCAGTTGCATTTCTCAGCTGCATTTTCTTTTCGAGGAGGAGGAGAAGTAAAGATATAGTTAGTTACTATAAATAGGCAAATAGTTAAATGGAAAGTAATGAATTTCACCCATTGAAAATTGTATTTATTTAATTTCCATTTTCTTTCGTCAGGAAATTGATGAATATATTTCTTTTATTTATTTTATATTGATGAATATACTTTTAAGTATGCTAAAAGTTAAGCTTTGTCCCTCACGAATCATCGAAAATCATTTTGACTTGATTATTTTCTTTTATAAGTTAAATCCCGCTTATAGTGATATCGAGCAAATACAAATCCATTTCTCCAGAAATCAAACTTTTAACAATGTTTAAAATGAAAATAAAAGATAAAGATAATACACTATTGTGGATTCATATTTTACATTTGTTTAATCGTATCAAGCGTATAATCCGATGGAAGAAAGAAAAGGAATTTTAATTTTCAATCGAATGAGGTATAATGGTGTTGGAAAAAATAACTTTAGCTCTCTAATTTGCTCAATGTGCAAAAAGTTCTTGTAACAGAGTCAGTTGATGAAATTTTAATACATCAATGCAAGCCATGCGTTTGAAAAGGATATTTTTGTGGAAAACTTTTTTAAGGAACCCAAAGCGAATTGCCAGTGATCCGAAATGTTGAGGCGCTAGCGGACATCTAATTTAAATAAGCTTCTGTGGACTTCCTCCTTTTAATACCATTATATTTAATATCTAAAAGTCCGTTATTAAAGCTTCAGAAGTCCTTTATTTTTAAAATATAGTGATGAATTGTAGTCTAGAGGAAAAGACGTGGATTTTTTTCCATTGTAAGACCACACGTGCAAAGAACTAAAAAGTGGTGGATAATAATTTGTCGCCACTAGGATCTGGCGATTTGGTTCCCTCATTCTCAGTCGCCATTTAAATGAAAGAATATATAATGTTATTTTCTTTTTCTTTCCAGCATGCCTTCCTGGTGTAACGGTAGCATACTCAGCGCGTATTCGAGAGGTCCAGGTTCGAGTCCTGGAGAGAACATTGCTGATTTTTCATGTCCCCTGCTTTTTTAATGTCTCTATAAACTTATTATATTGCCTCATATATGTTCCGGCAGAAAATTGGTCGGAGCGTTTGTCCTAAAAGGGTAAAGATCGGAAGACGTTTTGAAACACCGGTAGTTTCTCCAAGCATCATATTTCATTCCTAAGTGAACTAATACCTGGCAATCTGTATATAGCTATCTGCCAAAGAGAATACACTAACATAATTTCTTTTGCTTTACCGAAACACGAACACTTTCCTTTGAATTTTACTTTACGAAAATACAATCTTCCTTAAATATCATGTAGGTTTTTTTATAATGTAACAAGTTAGTTACTTGATTATATAAAATATCACGAAACGTATATTTTACCTTTTTTCCCCCTGTTAAGTGTTAAATCTTTAATATTAATACGATTTTGCCATATATTTGACAATGTAACTTTCTGAAAAGCAATATGACACTTTTAATGAATGAAACAGTGCATTAACAGTTTATTCATGTTGGAGTGTTGTAGAGACATTAGAACTTTTGTGGAAGCATGACAGATGAAAAATGAGCACCGCTGTCGCCGGGAATCGAACCACGGACTTCTGGAATACGCACGCGCCCAGCTTGCTGACCACTACACTACGAAGGCATGCTAAGAAGGCGGGAGAAATACCTTATAGTGTAAATGACAATTATTCGAAAGCCATTAATGAGGAATCGTAGATTAAACTGAACTATTTTATCATATTATCTCCAACTCCAGAACTCGGAAATGATGACGCGACTGTGACGAGTAGAGCTTAGAAATTTTCGCTCTCCGTCGTAAATCGTTATAACTTCGGCAATATCGATGACTTGGTATTGAATTTTGTATTAATGTATTCAGTACCAAGCCATTGGTATTGTACGTCTTTCCAAAAGTAACCCGTCGATATTAATCTTACCTTGGAAATCAATTATTTTCAGAAAGTTACAGAAAAAGTTTTAATTGCATGTTTCAGTGCATCCGATTTTACTAATCAGTGGTTCTGTTTTAAGATTATAAATCTAAGTATGTATAGTGATCTTCAAGCGAAACTTTAATGTATAATTTTAAGGAATTCGAATTATTTCTCGCTGTTTTTCTGTATATAAATGACATTTATGCATAGATTTTCTTTCGTTACACTTTAATAAACGTTTAACATTTTGATTGATATATTTAAATTATATTTATGATTTCTTCTTAGTATCATTTAGTATGAGTTTGGTTGATACCATTCTACTTAATTATTTAGTTATCGATAAATATGATACTTAGTAAGATAAAGAGATAAATTAAAGATAAATTAAAGAAGAGATAAATTAAAGAAAATCCTCCAAAGAGATAAATTAAAGAAAAATATTTAGTAAACATTTCAGCATTCGCAGTTCCCCTGCCAATGCACAGTGAATCAATTTAACTTAATGCTCCATTAGAACAAGTCTGAACTTTGATTTGTGCTTATATGTCACAATTATATATCAGTGGTTTTTAAGTTAACAAATGAGGTAATTTTGATTCTCATTAGTTTACTACTAAAGAGAAATATGTACATAACTGTAGTTTTCATAATTTACTTCAAGTGAAACATGAATACGAGAACGATTTTCCTTAAAATGTCCTCCTTTTCCTTTAAATTCCTTTTGTGATCACTAGATATTTGGAGTTCTTTTTCCAAATAATAAAAACGTTGCAATTTTTTCAGATGCTTAAATATATTTTGGATATATAGCGAATTACTTCATGTTTTTTCTTTTTAGGTAATTTAATTTTTAAATATCTCCATACAGAGTTTCGTGATAAAAAATTAAACAGCCAGCTAGTGTAGCAGTTTATCACATCGTCGTGCAAAATATTATTCTCACAAACATTACAATCATAAAAGCATATTATCATAACTTTTATATTTTTAAGTCGCATAAAAAGCATTTTTAAAAAGCATTTTTTGCATTTTTAAAACACCACATAAAATGAATTTTTATGGTGTTTTTCATGTGTTTCAGTCAAATTTTTTGAAATTTCTAAGCTTTGCATGCTTTTTTAAAATTTAAATCGTTGTTTCTTAAGACGATGCTTTGTGAGATTTATCCCTGCTTCTCCCCTCACCACCACAAAGCTCGCTACAATATTTAGTGCGAAAATTTCGTCGTGGAAGCAAAGCTTTTCTTTGTTTGACTGCGATATTTTCGCCAGAAACTGATTATATACAGTGGTTAACATCTGTTTTCGGATACTTGCATTTTTACTTCCTTGTACGAAGTAAAAGAATTATATATAATCGAGAAAAATTTCGGGTATCATAGTTTAAGGAAAATGTCCATTTTGACGGCTCTCGAATCCATTTGAACAATGTTTTCGCGTGGCATCTGTCCGCACAGACATAATCAGTTTTTTTTTTTTTTTTTTTTTTTTTTTTTTTTTTTTTTTTTTTTTTTTCAAAACGGATTGTAAAATGGATTTAAAATAAGTTCAGAAGAGATTTTTTTTCCATGACGTCTCTACGTACGTACATGTACATACATGTAGTTGTGTACCTCCCTTTTTCGTTGCAGTCGGCCGCACCAAACTTATATAAATGCATATATAAAAATGCTCCCACTCGGCTCGGTGAAAAATTTCCAGGTTACCCGGCTCGGTGAGGCCATTTTTTTTTTTTTTTTTTTTTTTTAAATTCTTATATGTTGGTAAATCGTATATTTTTTTGCTTTAAAGGGATATGAATTATGTTGTTATGAATTGAATTATGTCTTCAAGTTAAGCTTTTTATGCCATTAGTTAATCTGCATGCAATAACTGTAGAATTGTCAACAATTTAAAAGTGCCACTAAGCCTAAAGTGCCTTAGTAAAATAGTGAATTAAATCAGTTGGTACACCAACTTCAGTGCCTTTTTGCCCAGTGTGACCAAAAGTTAACTTTCAATTTTGTCTTCCTGCCCGCTGGCTGAATTGCTTGTTTTTGCGTAGAAACTTTAATTTTCTCTGTAAAAATTGTTTTTTAATTGTTTTAACTGTATTTGTTTTTTTTTTAGGTTTTACTGTATTTTACAATTTTTAATGAGGATTGAGTTTTTATATGTATTTTTGCTTTGCTGCGGAGTTAGAATTGACTGAATTAGATATATACATCTCTAATGAAATTCGAGGAAATAAATTTAAATGAAGTGCAGCAGAAGATACGTATAATTTAAAAGGCCGTACAAGGAAGTCATGTGGCATCCACTTTAGCTTTTTAAAATTTATTTGCGGAAATCTTGTACTAAATATTGAAGTCTAGACTTCGATTTTTTTTTTTTTCCTAATATATTACTTTTTCTCTATTCAAGCCTTGATTATTGCACAATAAATATTAAAATACTCCAAAAATTTAAATAATTTATTCAAAAAGAGCTAATCAGTAATAATTCGGATCCTTGAAAATTTTGCTCAGACTTTCTGGAAGATATCATAAATTTTTTTTTAATTGAAAATACAACGCAAGAATTAGCGTCTGCATTTGGAAAATATTATTTGTTCAGCAATGTATATTAACAGTTTCATATCCGATTTGAACATGACAAGACGTTACAAATTAGTGACATATTCCATTAGAAATTTAACTGATATTTGCAAATAAAATCGAAAAACGCAAAAAAAATATTCTTTCTTAGGAAAAAATCCTGGGCATTAAGGTTAATTAAAAATTACTTAACGTTAAAAATCTTATTTCATGCATGTTACTGCAACAATGAATACGCATCAATTTGTAAATTTTTATAATCGTAAATATTCCGGAAATTTTTCAGAGAAATTATGATAAAAATATAGAAAATTGTGATAACGTTCAAACAAATTATTAATTAATTTGTACTGTTCAGTCAGCGCCTGTGTGATGTGGTCTATTGCTTTTTAAAACAATTTATGTTGCGAAGAAGTGTATGACTAATTATCATTATACTTTTGATGTGGCTTTTATGTAAGATTGGCCTGAATGTAATTCCTTTTTCATATACTTACTTACGGCTTGTCTTAGGTGAACAAAGAAATGCCGCAGACAAAGCTGTATTTGTTTTTAAGCATAATATTTTACCATGTACTTTCTTTCAGTCCTTTTATACAAGAATGTGTTATGATTATAGGTTCTGAAATTGGTAGCCCTAAGCCTGGAGTTAGACATGGGCGGAAAAGAGCCTTGTCTAGTTCGCCGTATTCTGACTTTGACATCAATTCCATGATACGATTTTCTCCAAGTTCTTTAGTTTCCTTTATGAATGGTTCGAGAAGCTCAAGTACAAGTGGTTCTTATGGACATTTGTCAGCTGGTATAATGTATTTTTTTATTTGAGTTCGATAAAAGAAAAGTAATGCTTCTAGTATTTATCCTTAATTTTTACCATCAAATAAAAATTTTTATTCCCCCCCCTTTTCTTCTTTTTATGAATGTCATTCTTTGTTCAATGTACAAAAGCTGAAAAAGAGGAGAAAAAAACGTATTTTGTGAATATGCTGCAACTAATTTCATAAATGATATTGTCTAATAATACCTTTTGCATGCATAATTTACTCAAAATTATTGCAGTGATATGAAATTTTATATGTAAATATAGCTTACTCTTTAGAAAATTGCTGTAAACCTCTTATTACTTTTGTTCCTTACCTTTATTCATAATTAGCGATTTCGATGTTATCTTACAATATTTATCTTTTAATTTACAGCTGTTTTAATAATTAGAGCAATTAACCTAATATTATGCACTTAAGAGTAAGTCTTCTTTTTGAAAACATCTAAGCTCTGAAATTTTACATTTTTAAACGTCGAAGCCTAATTTTTTTTTTTCATTATTATTTGGATCATTTGTAGGCATTTAGGTTTTTCGTATATTTTATTCACATGTAAATTCATAATATAAGTCTAGAAGAATTTATAGACTTTTTCTGACAAGCGCATTTTCTCTTATGTAAAATGCTTGTGTATCAGCAGATTTATTTATAAGACCAATGAAAAAAATCGACAAAGCAGCTGTTTATCAAAAGGAAGGGAATGTGAAAAACAAAAGAAAGAAAAAGGAGGAACACTACATCGTGAACAAAAAAAAAAAAAAAAAAAAAAAAAAAAAAAACAAAAAAAAAAAAAACATCCTCCCTACACACACGCATATGCATCGTACATTCCACTTAATTATGCTAAAGTACAAAGGCCACTTAATTATGCTAAAGTATACTGAAGTTATTAAACACACCATTGTAACTACACCCATTTTTGTGCAAAAACTATTATTTTTTAAAACTCCGAGGTACGCTTCTCATCTCCACCCACTCTCCAAATCTAGACATCACCCACCAAAACTCTTGAGGAGTGCATTGAGCTTCATGCTCACACTGTGACTTCAAAGTGTGAATGTTATTTAATCAAGAGACCTTTACTCACTTATATTTTATATTTTGATAACGTTTCTGAAAGCTTTTCCTTATTTGATATTTTATTCACATGTAAATTCATAATATAAGTCTAGAAGAATTTATAGACTTTTTCTGACAAGCACATTTTCTCTTATGTAAAATGCTTGTGTATCAGCAGATTTATTTATAAGACCAATGAAAAAAATCGACAAAGCAGCTGTTTATCAAAAGGAAGGGAATGTGAAAAAACAAAAGAAAGAAAAAGGAGGAACACTACAGCGTGAACAAAAAAAAAAAAAAAAAAAAAAAAAAAAAAAAAAAAACCATCCTCCCTACACACACGCATATGCATCGTACATTCCACTTAATTATGCTAAAGTACAAAGGCCACTTAATTATGCTAAAGTATACTGAAGTTATTAAACACACCATTGTAACTACACCCATTTTTGTGCAAAAACTATTATTTTTTAAAACTCCGAGGTACGCTTCTCATCTCCACCCACTCTCCAAATCTAGACATCACCCACCAAAACTCTTGAGGAGTGCATTGAGCTTCATGCTCACACTGTGACTTCAAAGTGTGAATGTTATTTAATCAAGAGACCTTTACTCACTTATATTTTATATTTTGATAACGTTTCTGAAAGCTTTTCCTTATTTGATATAATCGGAAATCTTTTCGTTTCTTATTTCACTCTACAGCCACAGTTACTCCAATCGTTGAAGTATTATTGCATTTTATTTGACCCAACCTAGCCGCCCAGCTGGTATAGTGGTTAGTGATCCTGATTACCGTAGCAATGGGCCCGGGCTCGAATACCGGAGAAGACATGGTTGTTTTAATTGTCCATCCCTTCATAGGAGACAACGGTGGCCACCTATTAGGTACTTCTATAATGAAATGGCCACCACTTCCGGCCCTTATATTGGCGCAAGGCTAATGGCTATTAAATAAAGCTCCCGCTCGTTAAAAAAGTATTTAACCTACCCTAAACATAGCTATTATTGTAGAGACATTAGGATATTTGGAAACAGGAGAGATGAAAAATTAGCAACCGCCTTCGCCGGGAATCGAACCGTGGACCTCTAGAGTACCGACCCATCGTGCAGAACCACTACACCACGAAGACAGGCTAGGAAAGCGGGAGAAATACCTTATATACTCCCCTTTTTAAAGGGCGACTGGGGTTTTTTGGGAACCCAATCGCCAAATCCTGGGTGTGGAGAATCCTCATCCAACACCCGTTTAGTTCGGGCGCCAAGAGACTGTAGGAAGAAGAGGATATTGGATATTTGGAAGCAAGAGACATTAGGATATTTGGAAGCAAGAGATATTAGGATATTTGGAAGTAAGAGAGATTGAAAAATTAGCAACCGCCTTCGCCGGGAATCGAACCGCGGACCTCTGGAGTACCGGCCCATCGTGCAGAACCACTACACCACGAAGACAGGCTAGGAAAGCGGGAGAAATACCTTATATCATCACTTGTTACTAACGCTTGTTGACATCTGAAAAATGATCTCGTTTTTAAGTGCTTTACTTAATTCTAATTTTAGTGTAGAATTTCTAATAAATGTTTCCTTTTATGGTTAATAATAACGCACGAGATATCACCTCATATAAATTATTTATGCAAAATAAAGTAAAGAAAAATTATCAGGCCTTTGAGGAGTACAATGAATTTCCTGAAACAAAGTAATCACTATCACCTTCATTATAACAAAGCAAAGGAATTTCTCTTTTTGTTTGATCCTTAGCAGTACAAATTGTGTTTAAATTCAGCCGGAGGCTATCTCCCTGGCTCTGCTTTTTCTTGAATTTTTAGTGAAATCATAATTCCAGCCGGAGAATAACGAAATTCAAAATGAACTTCAGCAGATCTTTACAGTTCGTCACGTCTTTGCAGACAAACTGAATCGCATGCTCATTAAGAAAAACTATTTGATATTAGTATAGTATTTTTTTAGCAATAAGTATCGTCTAGCTGCTGAACGCTTCACTCTTCTTGGCAAGAATAAAACACTAAAAAATCTTCATCAGTTGGAGTAAGAAAATACCTTCTCTCTATATAGTAAAAGCTTACCATTCAGAAGATGAAATGTTCAAGTGGGTAATTTGAGAACGGCTAAGTTTCTCTTTCGATCACGCACTCTTCAACGAAATTAAAAAAATGAAAGTGGGAGGGATAATTTTAACCGTCCAGAATCTACGCATATTCTTCTAGATCAAATATTTCTAAAAGTGTTGGCACTTTCACATACTGGGATCATTCGTATCATATGTGTGAACTAATTTGTGACTAAATTGATCGAAATTCATCATGACTTTCACATCCGTAGAAATATATATACATACTGCTGGCCATTAAAATTGCAACACCATGAAGGAAAGCAAATACAAAAAATATATTTATTGTGCACAAACAGTATGGCATGAAGACAAAATGATTAAATTTGTAAGCAGTTTGGGATTTACAGGGGTGCGAAATCAGCAGAAACAGCTATCACCGCTGGCAGCTAAAACGGCCCTTACCCGGTTAGGCATGGAGTTGAACTGGACTTCGAAGACAGAAACAGGCAACTCATTCCATGCTGCTTCAAGTTTATACATAAGTGATCACAATACATAAGTTTATACATAAGTTATACATAAGTTTGATGAAGTGTAACTTATCGTAACATTGATAAGTTACACTTCATCGAACATAGTAGCTGGAGAGGGTTAGCGCGAGAGTCTCTTACCAGCCGATGAACAGATGTTTTATGGGAACAATGGAGACCATCAGGCCTAGGACATCAGTCGAATATTTCGTATCGAGAAGGTCAGAACACGAAGTGAACATGTGGTCTTGCATTTCTTTGGAAGATGGTCTTAAGCAGGTTTCGAAGATAGGGCACAACTACTGGACTAAGAGTCAGAATATACGATCTGTTCAAATTACCGTCGATCCAACAGAGATATACGGGTGTATCAATGGCTGCCAAACAGGACCACGTGCAGGTCCCTACGCCAATATCGAATGCAAGAAGACGACAAGCAGTCTCCTCGAAACCTCCAGACACGTATGAGGCCAGCAGAATACTGCACGCAGAACCGCGACTCGTATGAAAAGACGACGTTGTGTCACTCCTGAATTCAGCTTTGTCGTTCGGCGCACCAGAGATGCTGTCTCTCTCTCTGCTACATTGTCAAGGGAAGCCGAAGTAATGGTCGCCGTGCTGATAGTCAACGCTGTTGCAAACATCAACGCACCGTACGAGCTGATACTGGGCGTGCTGCAAACAGGCCCATTTCCTTACTAATGGTTCGTGATGCCGTTGTACGGTTTTGTAGGGCTGACCTCACAATATGTCTGCCCCCTCGGCATACATATTCACGCCCCCTCGGCGTGACCTACACGGGAGGGCGTTTAGGCCCTTCATGCCGTTCAGTATGATCCTCAGCAGTCCATTGATTTCATATTCACATGGCAGTGCTTGGATGTCGACCAGTGCGACTGGCGAATTCACGGAACGATAATCCAAACTCTCGATAGGCGATGATCCTGCCTCTATCGGATTCCGACACTTGCTGGTAAGCATTTCTTCGTATTATTCGAGGCATAGCACGATATTCTGAGAAAACCGCGACCTTACAAAGCGCTTTCCGACTGCGAAATCCACTACACAACTTTTCTTTTACGCAGTGCTTCAGACATTGTTTCTCCCTCCTGCGTCGTCTAAATGCGCTGAAATACTAATCATTTGCATATCCTAATCTCTTCTTCCTTTCATGTGAGTTTGACGTTAGTCAGATCATTCCTTTCTGGTGTTGGAATTTTAATGGCCAGCAGTGTATATATGTGTAATTTTCTAATTCTTATTTATATATTTATTATAAATTCAATAATTACCTTATTATTAATAATTACCTTATTATTTAATAATTACCTTATTAATTATGTATATAAATATATTTGTTAATCTTATTCCTGATGTCATTTCATACGGCCACGGCGCCTTTTAGAAATTAAGCTTTGAATATAAATATATGTACCGTTTCCTTCCCCTTAATTGCTTTTCTGACTTTTTAGGATCCTTAAGTCCAGCGATGGGTGTGTCTCCACCCGCTGTCCTTCCACATTTCCATCAACTCCATCACTTAATGCGTCAAGGACTCACATCCCCTTTCTTACTGCCACCAGCTTCGAGCTTACCGCAGCAGACTATGTTTCCTGGACATATGACTTCATCGACAGCAACCAAAGTAAGAATTATGCAGTCTTGCCATTGAATTGAGCAAATTTTTAAATCTAGACATAATATCAAAAAATAAGCTCAGAAACTATGCTTACATTCTCCTGGGAGCTCTAATGATTGAAAACTTTTTAACTGCGCAAATATTTTATTCGCTGTTACCGATTCCTTTTTAAGCTCTTTAGTATCATGTACATTTGAGGATAAGTTTACAGATTCTGCTTAGCGAAATAATGATAATTTTAGGTCACGACTGTAGTATACAACAAATCTTTTTGTAGTATACAACAAACCAACTAACTGAGTCGAAATAGTTTCATCAAACTTTTAATGAAATAAATTAAATTTTCTTGGTATAATTCTAGGCAATTTTAAGCAAATTGAAATAAAAGGTGCATATGAATAGGAAATGTCTATTTATTTTAGACGTAAAGGAACGTCTGAAAGAAAGCCTACATCAAAAGCGGGCTTTTATTACTGCAGAAAAGTTTATAAGAATGATACAGAACTCTTTTGAAAACAATGCAGAAACAAATGTGTCATTAGCAAAACTGTCATTGTCATTCACTGTTTGCTATTGTCAACCATATCTGCGGTGGGTCACCATAATAAATATATCTAAGAAGTGAACTGTCAAGTAGGGTGCTTTGTGTTGAAGACAGTTTGCATTTACGATTATTTCGGATTATTTCATTCTTCCTGTTACCAGCATAATCTTGTGTAAATAACTAATATACAGAACTTATTCCGAAAATCGTAATGAAAGGAGCAATTATTAGTTTCTCTTGCATCCGGTGTGTTCAGAGCTTAAATTGCGCCGGAGCCCACCGGAGCCCTAAATAAGTCTCCGGCACTTTTTTTTATGTAACTGAATAATTATTTCAGTAGAAATTTGATCTCGAAAATTTTATTTTAAGCAATAAAATTATATAAAAAATTCTTAAATTTTAATTTGCTCTTTACATTTATCTTTTATTTAGTTTTATTATTTATTACTTTAATCTTTAAGTATTTTAATAAAATAATAATTAATTAGGAATCAATTTAATAATTATTATTAATTTGATACTCATTAACGATTTAATTTTTAAATTATTAATGATTTTTAGTAGTCATTTTATTTATTTATTTACTCTTGTTCCTCTTCCATGACGGTCTTCCATAGGGCTCCAGCACGTCTACTTTTAGAAATTAAGCCCTGGGTGTGTTTCAGATCCTGGCGTTAGCTCGCTTAGCTGCAGATGTTGCTGTTTGGTGCTGCCGTTGTCTTATAGAGCCATTTATTAGCAAAGACGGAAGTATGACGCCGTGAGGCTTTCCATGAAGATAATAAATAACTGGAGACTGAATTGCAATCTCGTAGAATCCAGATATCTTACAGTCAAGCAAAAGCGCGCTTCATGTTTGCAGAGATCTGCTTATCTTTCCAAGTGGGAGTGGGTGATTGTTCATATGCCTGATTGACGCCACTGAGCCCATGTTGTGGGCGTGATTGCGAGATCTGTGCGTTAATGTGGTTAATCGCTGACTTCGGCTGTTGAGGCTGCAGTGCGCGGGTGTGCGTAATTGGACACTGTTGCATTGTGGGACGTAGCGCTGGTGCGTATGACGTCATACATCATTTCCCCAAGCTAGTCGGAAGTGCGTGTTCTTTTGTCTAGGTCAGTAATGTCATGAAACCGGGGCTAGCCCACTTAGTTACCGCTGTTGTTACCTGTTGTTGCAATTGTCTCGTGGCACCATCTATTAGCAGAGATAGGAAGTGCGATTCCGTGATGTCTCCAGCGTCTTTGAAAGGGTATATGACCTTGAGGGTCGAAATGGGGTCCTTCGCATTGAATCGAAGCATCTTGTTGCCAAGCAAAAGCGCGCTTCTTCTTGTCTTTCTGGTGCCAGCGTATGACTGGTCATCGGGACCGCTTATGGAGAGTTTCAATCAAATCAATCAAAGTGGAGAGTTTCAATCAAATCAATCAAAGTGGAGAGTTTTTCTAATCAAATAAGTTCAAGCAAGAAACATTACGGAAATATGTCCTCTGTTCATTTTTGAATTAAATAGAGAACTTAATCGCATAGAAAGATTAAATCCCTCCACACATCTCATATCAAACTCGACTGATTTTCGTACAAAATGCCAGCTGACATGACTCGTAACTTTCACACATTAAATAAGTTGAATGTGTTAGCAGCTGTCCTGAAAGTCTCTTTCACACGTAGCAACGATCCTTATGTACTGCATGTACTGAATGCACTGACTGATTCTGTTAACGGGATGTCCCTCACTTGCAGGAGAGCTTGCGTAGTTGACAGAAATGTTGCGTTGCTACATGGACATATTTCACACTTTATTAAAGTAAACTTCATTAAGTATTTGGTATTCCTTGTGTTAAGGAAAATTTTTCATTACTTTATGTAGTAATTGCTTTTAATTTATAGTATTATTTGCTAATTTTTAAGTTAATCGGTAAATATCTTTATGAGAATAGATTGATTTTAGTTCCCCTTTCATGTAACACCTTCTGTGTTTTACAGGATTCTGTATTAAACAACAACATTTCTGGAGACGGTTCAGTGAATGTTTCTGGGAGTCACAAACAATATCCAGACTTGCAATATTCGAAAAATTTGGCTTCTACGGGCTCTGGAGAAGTAGGTGCTGACGAAGACAAAGATGCGACATCTGACATCAAAGACGAGCCTGGCGATTTTATCGAGACAAATTGTCGCTGGGTAGACTGTGAAAGGGAATTCCCAACACAAGAGGATCTTGTAAAGGTAGTATTGTATGCTATTTAAAGGCGATAAGCCTTTCTGGATACCTGTTCTGTAATTAAGTTCTTTATAGGATTTGGATTTGGAAATAATTTGCGTTCTTTCATAAATAGAAATTAAAATAATTTTCCATTAATTTCATTCAGCGAAATGTTATTTCATTGCAATACCAATAAATGGTCAGGTGCTTGATGTTTAACTTGAATGTACTTCAAATCCTTTCCCAGTGCCAGAATGTGGCTATAAGAATAAATATTGCTGAACAAAATCAGTGGATGAGGCAATATAATTACTGAGTGTGTAAAAAGTTCTACCTATTTTGTAGATGAAAAACTGGATAATCGGGTGACACGTCAAATATGATATTACATTCAATCGAAACTTTTACCATTAAAGCGCGAAGTAACAGAGCATACAATGACGCAAAGTTTCTCAAAAATAACTCATATGCTTAATAGTTAAAAACAGCAAGCCATAAGTAGCACATTATGTACAAGTTTACTGTACGAAATTGTTAAGCGCAATCCTGTTTTTATCAAGTGCATGAAGAGGTTCTATTTATTTATTAGATTATAGCAAAACTTGTAAGAACTAGCTGCCTAATCGGTTGACTTCCCAGAAGACTTAAGTATTAAGGTAAACTGGCCTGCGTTGATATGAAATATAAGAAAGCACCTTTGCAGCGAGCCCGTTCGTCGGCATTCGAATCCAGGTCGAACTATCAGTGTTCAATGGTTTTATCCATTCTGCCACTTGAGGAAGGGAATGGAGATGATACAACGGCAGCATATGTCGTGACTGATTTCAGAAATTCAGGGGCTGAAGCAGATGAAGTACGGATTAATCATGTTCAATAAATTTGCCAACAGAATGTCACCGAGTTGCAATAAGTTCTGTGTTAAAGAAGCGTTAGTTGCATGGACACAAATTATTCTCCCTCCTCTTAAATATAGCTGTACATTTAGAAATCATTGATTTACTTGATGCTAACAATTAATTAAATGAAAATACAAAATACTGGGCTACAGAACATAGTTATATTAGATGTACAGAAATGACTATTTGTTCCGTTCAAAAAGTGTTTTAATGAAGAGAAGTTTCGGTTAGAGAAGAAATAAATGTTAGTTGTAGTACTGACTTTTGAGTACGGAAATGCTTCACTGACTGTATTAGGCCCACCAGCGGCCGAGCGGTAAAGTCGCTGAACACTGGTCGTTCGGTCCGAGGTTCGAATCCCGCGAACGGGCTGGCTGCATGGGTGTTTTCGTGGTTTTCCCCATGTGTAACGTGTATACGAGCCAGTTTCCCTTAGAAAGTCCTCCACGAAGGCATCCCTCCCCTTAGGCAGATAGCCCTCGTGTGCTTTGCCATACTTAAATACACCACACCATCACTGACTGTATTAAATTCGTGAATTTTTGTTGGAAATTCTTTCTTTTTATGGCACATAATAAATAGCCACGCAGAGTGCAAATGACTGCAGATTTGTTGGAATACGTGGAAACAGAAAGCATACATTAGCAAGCCTATTCACTGAATTTGAATCCAACTGAGTGGACTTAGAAGATGCTGAATGAATCCTATCATACACTTGTCAAAGGAATGGATAAAAACGCCGTAAAATACCTACTTTTTTTTTTTTTTTTTGTGTGTGTGTGTGTGTGTAATTATAATATCTCAAGAATCAGAGTAGAGGCTTTTTTATTGGTATATCTAATATCTTTCAACGTAAGAAATATTTCACTTAACCAGTGATGTTGGCAGTTGCGCAGAGCTTTAAATGAATGAGTATTTTAAAGCACTTTACTTTCCGGGTATCAGGCTAAAACCAATTTTAGTTGGATTCAGTACTCATATTTATGCTGTTATATTATTGCGTTATCCTTTAAATTTATAGAGAAGCGTAGTTATTTCGTAAACGTGGCGTAGTTGGAAATCTTAACTGAAAATTATTTAAGCACTTTTATAAGTCTGTAAGGTGTTTTCTCCCTTCTTAGCATGTGCCTTCGTGGTGTGATTAGAAGTAAGTACAAAATCGGAAGGTACGGTGTTCGAATCCCGGCGAAGTCATTGCGAAATTCTTCGGTTTCCTGCCTTCGAAGAATTCTAACAGGCATCCGAATTAAAAGGTGGTGGACGATAATTCCTCACCAGCAGGGTTGGCGTTTAGGTTCCGTCTTCCCTAGTCGCCCTTTCAATGGAGAGAATGTAAGGTATTTTTCTATGGCTTAGAGCTTGCCTTCATAGTGTAACTAGAAGCACGTCTGGCTAGCAATCGGGAAGTCTGGAGTTCGAATCCCGGCGGCTCTTCGGATTTCTTCAGTGTCCTAGCATCGAAAAATTCTAAATGACTCTCCTTACCCCCCTTTATGCATGTATCCGTTTGTTAAATATATCTTTTTGGGTTTTCAGAAGTTAAACCACTATCTAAACACATTTGTTGCTGCAGATTTATTACTTAGATATAATGTTATTCCCGTGTACTACGCCATTCCCACCCACTCCCATCTATAAATGTAAACTTCTTTTACTTTTGTTTCAACCATTGCAACTTTATACTGGCTATCAACTATATAGGCTATCAACCTGAGTTGAAATACTTGGTCAATTACGTATACGAAAATTTAAAGCAATAATTTCAGTGAAGTCAATTTATATAATTTTATACGGAGCTTAGAATTGCGCCAGAGCCCAGTGAAGCCCGGCTCGTGTACTTCTCAGTTTTTGAAATAAATTATTGTTACGAAAAGTCCAGGTGCGGTGAGATAGCTTCCCTGCTAGGCAGGTTTATGGTTGCCATAAAATGGCAAGGGAAGGCAGGGTTGCCATATTTGGCGAGAAATCGCCGATTTGGTGATCTTTGGTGACAAAATTGGCGACATGGCATAGACGCAAAGAGAACCTTCTGAAACGAATTCTTACTGGTTTAGCCCAGCATGTTCTCGAACACAAGCCAAAAGCTATATAAACTCTGCTGATATGCGGAGAGTTAGTCAGTTTGTTCCGAGTTAGAGAGTCCATCGAGTTGCAATTCTTTCCTATCGGAAAATAATTGCAATTCGTTCGTTTTCAACCAATCAGCTATCAGCTTCGAATGCCATCAGCTTATTTGTAATGGAGAACCAGTGTCTCCTGTGTTAATCGCAAAGCGATCTGTGGTGATTGGCTGTTGTGACAAAGCACAAAAGTTGTTTCAAACAGTTGTTCTTCGGAAACAAACGGACGTGTGATAGTAGCCTTAGTGTATCGCGGTTAGGGCATCGTCGAGTTGGATCTTAGAGTGTGTTGAGCTCCGGGAACGACTGAACCGAGGAGTTGGGAGCTGTATAGTTCATCGCGAGTTTAGCGCGGAGAGTCTCGAGAGTACGTGGAGTTCCGAGAACGACCAAGCAGAGTCGGGAGCTGTACTCTGGTGCTTTGCCGTGAAGCTGTCTTCACCGTTATAGCCTGACAACCTGAAGGCTGTGTCGCTGATCACTGATAGTGTTAGCGTATTTAAAGTTGATCTTCGAGGACTGTAAAACGTAATTTTGGAGCTGTCCGGAGAAATAAATTGTGTTTCGATATTTCATCAAGTGCTGTTGTCATTCACTCCAAATCCGCATGAACCCCTACTTACGAACGTACGCGAGGAAAAAAAAACGCAACATTATAATTTTAGCCGCAGTGCACAGGAGCCTTAAATAAAAGGGCTCCGACACTTCTTTTATGGAAGTTAACTACAATTTCAGCAAACATATTGTATTTTAATAATAAATATGCCTTAAAAATTGATTCCGGTTTTTAAATGTAGGCCTGTCTTTCCCTCGGACGTAAATCTTGGACAGACTTTTAAGCAAAGAAATGCCCTTATGCCAAAAGCTTTTTTTCCAAGAAATGCAATAAATTTTTGACAGGGAGTTAATTTTTTTTTCCCTGAAAGGGCTAAAAGGCATCACCTTGGTCGTGCACTTCCCACGCTAGTGAATTCCTGCTCCAGAGTTCTTGTGCACTTTTTGAACGATATAACCAAACGCGGGGATCACTACTGTCACCTATGTAGACGAGTCTTACGTTTATCCTCACTGTTGTTATCGGATCGTATTCAGGGGAAATTTCTGTTTGACCGCTAGAATTATACCGACAGGGCATCGTGATCAGAAAGTCTTGGACTCTTTCCTTTTCATTTTCAAAGCTGCACTTTTTTGTTAAAATTGTTTTTCATATCTCAATACTGTTTCTAGAATCTTCATTATTCTATTTGTGACACTTTGATTGATTTATTCTTTTTCATTGAGGTGCCGAAAAAAAAGTGTTTTTTGTGTCTATTATCCCTTGAAATAGTATACTTATATGTGTAATCAGGCCATCAATTCAAACGGAGATGGGCTGAGGTACGTCTTAGCTTCTGAGTGGAATTGTAATTCCAGTCAGAACTCAAAATAAGACGAAGTCCGATAATTTATTTTTTATTTGACTATTTATAATTAAATGTAATAATTTATTAAATTTCTATTAATTCCTTTACATTTATTTTTAATGATTTATTAAATTTCTATTTATCACTTTACTTTCCTTTTAATATTAATTTAATTACTTAATTTTCCTTATTTCCTTTTTTATTTATTTATTTATTCTTTCTTCCTGGTAGTGTTCCGTAGGCATCCGGCACTTCTAATTTTAGAAATTTAGCCCTGATTTTATAATAAATAATCATGTTACTTAAAAGCAAAATAGCTGAACGTATTAGATGCATGCTTGCATATTCGTTATGCTTGTAGTCTTACTGGTTTAAATTCATTATAATAACTCATGTAAAATATTCTTTTCTGTCTACTTAGAGCATTGGAAAATAGCTTTTAAAATGTTAGCAGCGATATTTACCGCTTGTTTGCAGCAATTTTCAATATTCAGGTAGAAGTACTTCATTCATATTCGACTATTGTACTCTTGAACTAAAAGCATTCGTTAACATTTTGAGTATTTTCTTTCTTTACTTATTTTGATATAAGGTTTAAAAATGA